ATGATAAAGAAAGATTCAATGAAATTTAATCTCCATTGGATCTATCCATTAAAATGACAGATAATGCCTTTTCTGGGGCTGGGTCAGTTTAGACTCTACGGTTTTCTGTTTTGTTTTTTTGTTCTGTTTTGTTGTTTTGGGATTTTTTTTTGCCTAGATTACAATATAAGAATAGAGACTAGCTGGGCCCTTGTGTCTCATGCCTGTAATCCTAGCTATTCAGAAGGTTGAGATCTGAGGATCATGGTTTGAAGCCAGAAGTGGAGTTGTGGCTCAAGTGGTCAAGCACTAGCCTTAAGTTAAAAGAAAAAAAGCTCAGGGACAGCTCCCAGACCCTGAATTTAAGCCCTGGGACTAGTACAAAAAGAGAAAAAGCAAGAAAGCAAGAGAAAAAGAAGGAAGGAGGGAGGGAGGGAGGGAAGAGAAGGGAAGGGAAGGAGACAGAGAAAAAATAGAAAAGAAAGGAATGGAATAGCAACTAGCCTGTATTCCCAGCATTCAGGAGGCTAGAGGAAGATGATGAGTTTGACACTCCTCTAGGCTACATGGTAAGATCCTGTGTCAATAATAATAAATGAAAATCATGAGAATAGAGTCCAAACCAAAGCCAACACTAGAAAAATAGGTCAGATTGTGCTTGCTATACTCTACCCCAGAAGAAGGCCTGCCATCAACAAAGACTGAGTGACTAGCCACGAGTTAGCCCTTTCCATGGACATTCAAGCTGATCAGAGCCCTAGACTCATATTTTCAAGGTTGGCTGTTAACCACTGACCTGTTTGATCCATGTTCAAAGAAGACATTGAGAACAGATGTTCAAATCATAGCATTTTGCTGCCAAGAAGTATGCTGGCCTCATTTTACAAAGAAAGAAATGAGACTTGAATAAGTTAGAAAGGTCAAATTCCAAAGCTTTTTTCTTTAAGCGTTCCTAAGAAAAGGACATTAATGAATGCTGGGGCTTTGGGAAGACAAGAGCCCAACTTCCAACTCGGTCATAGGAAGGCTGCTGTACAGATATTGGGTTAGGATCTAGTGCTATCTTCATTGCTCATTAATACGGCAGCATTGGTGAGATTCTGTGCTGAACAGAACCTCTATTTCCTAATTTATAAAGTAAGGTGAGTGAGGCTTGAGGTTACCATGGAAACGAAGTGGAAATACCCTAATCTACACTGGCATGGGAGCCTGGACATATTTCACATGTATTGTCACGATCTGTTGATCCAAGTGGTGACATTAGCCCTATTTTATTAATGAGGTAGCAAAAGCTGAGAGAGATGAAGAACTTTGCAGAAGGACCAGGCACCGGGCATAGTGGTGGCATGTCTGGGATCTCAGCACTCTGGAAGGTAAGGCAACAAGATGGTGAGCGTTAGAAGCCAGTCTGGACTGCATACATAGCGAGATTTTGTCTCAAGAAAAACAAAAACAAGAAATTTTACCCAGGTGATACAGTTTATAGATGACCCAGGCCTATGGGACACAGAAGCTCTCATACATTACTTGACACTTGAGTAGCCTGAGACAGATGACCCAGAAGTGTGTCATAAATAAGAACTTGCTGTGAGAAATACATTAAAGAAAAAGAAGGCATCCTTGTAAATTTCCCTCAACTCTGAAAAGCAGTTTGGTCTAAACTGTTCCCAGATGCCTGTTTAATTCATAAAGACATAAGCAAGATCATTGATACTTCATACACTCATCCAGAAAACATCTTTTGGGGCTACTTGAGGTAGTACATGCTTATAATCCCAGCATTCAGGAAGCTGAGGCAGAAGGGTCTTCAAGACCAGCCTGGGCTACTATCAAGACCTATCTAAATAAAATCCTTTGGGTACATTGAAAGTGCCCTTCTAAACAGTAGCTTATTAACCTAGAACAATAGGGTTTTTTCCTGAGATCTGGACTCAGGGCCACTTGCAAAGCAGATGCTCCACCACTTAAGCCATGTCTCCCCAGCCCTTTTTGATTTATCAAGTTTTTTTTGAATAAGGTCTCTTATTGCCTCCGCTGGCCTGGACTGTAATGCCAAGGTCGCAGGACCCCCTGCAAGAAGACCACCGAGAGTCAGACTCTACAGCTGTTTTATTTAAACGGGCTGCAGCTCGGGCCTCGTCCTACACTCCGACACAGCGGAGCCTAGGAGGAGAGCCCTGAGCTAAGGATTTGCAGGTCTTATATAGGCAGGTGTTTGGATTACCACCACGTGTTGCTTTGTTAGACAGAAACAAGCAACACATGGTGGTCACTGCCTCAAACTTTAACCTTTCAGGACCATAAACCTACTATTGACACTGTCTTTGTTGCTGAGATGACAGGCACATGCCACTGGTTGAGATGGGTTCTCATGAATTTTTGCCCAGGTTGGCATCAAAACAAAATCCTTACAAATGGCTACAATTACAGATGTAAGCCGTCTCACTCTGCTTAGCACAATAGTTTTTCTTGTTATTTCTGTGGGGGTTTTTGTTGTTGTTTTGATTTTGTGCCAGTCCTGGAGCTTGAACTCAGGGACTGGGCACTGTCCCAATGCTCAAGGCTAGTGCTCTACCAGTTGAACCACAGCTCCATTTCTGAATTTTCAGTGGTTTAACTGAGATAAAAGCCTCAAGTGCTTTATTGCCTGGGCTGGCTTCAACTCATGATCCTCAGATCTCAGCCTCCTAAGTAGCTTGGATTATAGGTGTGAGCCATCAGCACCTGGCTTAACACAATAGTTTCTAAAAGATCGAACTAGCATTTTAATATTATAATAAGCCTTCTTGTATAATTCATATGGACAGTATATTTATATACTTGTTTAATGGTTTGTTTTAAATGTATGGAACAGGTGCATAGTTTTTATATACTGCATTTTGCTTTGATGTTTGTATTGGCTACACTCATAAAGACTATGATGCTTTCTTAATCATTTATTGTTTCCAGAGGATTAGTTTTCAGAAATGCCTACATTATGGACTGAGGGGAGCACTTCGTAGCTCCTCCCCCACACCCACAGTTGGGTGCCCTGTGGGTAGAGAAACAAGGCATCAGGATTCTCATCCTGATATAATTTCATATGAACCCATGGTTTAAAAGTTAACTAGAAACCAGGCACTGGTAGCTCATGCTTGTAATCCTAGCAACTCAGGAGGTTGAAATCAGAGGGGGCAGAAAAGTACTAGAGACTCCATTTTAAATTAACCAGCAAAATGCCAGAGGGGAGGCATGGCTTAGTGGTGGAGTGCCAACTGCAAACAAGCAAGTAGAGTAAGAGCATGAGGGCCTGAGTTCAAGCCTCAGTTCCAGCAAAAAAGTTAGATTATTAGTTGAGAGCTATCTGGTATGAGAGAAAAAGAAGGAGGTACAGCATTTTGTGATATGACCTGTCTCCAAGTGGTTGGACTTTATCAAGATGACAAAGGAAAGCAGAGCTAGAAAGTCACAGTATAGAAGTTAGGTTTCTCGATCAATGCTTGAAGTAGCAATTGACCTCAGGAACCTTGTAGAACAGGAAGGAGACCCACATTCTTAGGAGGCTTGTGGGGAGCTAAGACTAACACAACAACACTGCCCCAGTATGTCTCCTACTTTGTACAGCAGCTGGAATCTTATCTGAGTACTCTGAAAGGTTTTTGTCTTTGATCTGCTTTTCTTTGGCCCCAGCTTTGCTCAGGTGCCACCTACCAGTCACCTGTGTCTGTGAGTATGTGTATGGCTCTAGATCATTCCATCCCTGGCATTCTCTGCCTATCGGAGTGGCACACAAAAAGCAAACCATGCTGAGGGTCCAGAACGAGGGAGGAGCTATTGTTGCCATCCCTGTCTCCTTCCCCCCTTCCCTCCCCCCCCCCCCCCCCCCCGCAAAACTGGGTGTTTCCAGCAGGGCTCAGGATTCTGAGTTCTTCATAAATAATACAGTGCAGCTGTTTAAAGTGTTGGGAGTTTGTAAACCATTGAGTTCAGCGGTGGCACTCAGTTTCCCTTCATTTTTGTCCTTATCTGTGTGCCTTGGGAAGTTCCTCATCTTCCAATTTCAGCTTCCACATTTATAATCTAAAAGGGCTCAGGGCTCTAAGTATACTGTGTAAGAACCAGTTGTCTGAAATGGAGCTGCCTGGAAATACCACTGTCAGCATTGCTGGCTTCACTAGTACTGAGAATGGTCTGTGGCACTGCTGACCTGTGAGGAGAGGAACAGAGAAACCATTCGCTCTCAGCTTCTTAGCAAATACCAGAGATAGCCTATTGTCTTACTGCTTAAAGGTTTTTCTTTTAAGTAATTATTTTTAATCGTTATTATAAAGGTGATGTACAGAGGGGTTACCATTTTATAAGTCAGGTTTACCTGACACTCCTCTCTCTCCCAGTTTTTCCTTCCCATCCCTGCCCACAAGTTGGATAGTTTATTGTCAACAAAAAGTGATTTTTTTCCTTGGCAATAGAGAAATGTATTTGTCCTTAGCCATCAGCAAACCTTCCTCTACAATTATGTTTAGCTCTTTTATATAAAAACTATCATTATTTTAGTTACCTTGGGTTATTTGTTTTGTAAGTGATTTTAGAAGAGGCTGGATATGCGATTAAGTTTTTAAGAGTTAAATTTTCTGAGCCCAAGGGAACAAATCTTTGTGTTACTTAGAAGTAACATATTAAAACATTGTTCTAAGGAGTGACATTAATCATTAGCCTTCTCTCTTCTTTCTGGTACTCCACCTCAACCCCAACAGATCCCAGAATGTCCTTATGATTTTACATCTTTCAAAGCATCTATCTCTATCACTTGCAGTTAGGTCTTTCCTAGGAAACTTCCATTCACAGCTTTCCTCTCCTGACCAGTCTGAGGAAGTGGGAGCTGATTGTGTCAGGAGCACCCTCTGGAGGTCAAACTATGAAATTACAGTTCCTCTGTAGTTAAATTCTACACCTTGTGTTACCTTTCAACACAGGAAAAGGAATAGATTTTGCAGAATAAAACAGACATTTGTTTATTGTTTTTCTGTCTTTTGTCCCACCAGGTCAGTCACCATCCACCTATCTCAGCCTGCCATGCTGAGTCTGGAAATTTCGTTTTCTGGCAAGGTAATGTGCTGACATATGTGACCTCCATTTTGTGTAATGGTATATAGAGTTCATTTGTGGAGGAATTGTTTAAATGTTTGCTGAGATCAACAGTCGTCCTCAAAGAGTTGAGGCCTCATAATGCTCTGCTCCAATTGGTGGCCCCACTTCTAAGCTCTGGACAATAGCTGATACATACCATTTATTTATTTACTGATATTCAGCATTTAATTTTAGTTGATTGCTACTAGCTGATTTTAAGTATTCAGGGAGATCACTTTGTTTCACCATTTTGTTTATTGTCTTTAATGCCAGTATTTGGGTTTGAACTTAAGGCCTGGGCACTGTCCCTCAACTTTTTTTTTTTTTTATGCTCAAGGCTAGAGCTCTACCACTTGAGCCACACCTCCACTTGCAGCGTTTTGTTGGTTAATTGGAGGTAAGAGTCTCCTGGACTTTTCTTCATGGGCTGGCTTTGAACTGGGATCCTCATATCTCAGCCTGCTGAGTAGGATCACAGGTGTGAGCCACCAGCACCCAGCTGGGTTCCTAACTTTTAACTGCAAAATCTTATTGGCCCTATAAGGCTCTTCCTTAAAAGCAATGGGGGATTTTTTATGTTTTATTGTTGTTGTTGTTGATGATGATGACGATGATTTTTTAGTACTAAGAATTGAACTCAGGGCCTCATGGTTGCTAGGCTAATGCTCTACCACTTGAGCTACAGCCTCCGCCCTTAAAACTATGTATTTTTTCAATGGGAAGAATCTTCTAAAAGTAGTCCCTGTCTTACCAAATTTCTCCTGGGGCTGCTCCTGGGCTTTGAACTCAGAGCCAGGGTATGTCCCTGAGCTTTTGTGCCACTTGGGTCACTGTTCCACTTCCAGCTTTTCTGGTAGTTGGTTAGAGATAAGAATTTTACAGATTTTCCTGCCTGAGCTGGCTTTGAACCTTGAGCTTCAGATCTCAGCCTCCTCTAAGTATCTAGGATTACAGGATGAACCACTGGCACTGGCTTCGGCTTCTTTTTTAATCATTCTCTTCCTGGACAATACTACCTATTTCCTAGGTACAAATCCTGCTTTATTTTCATGCAGTCTATTATTTCTCTGCCTTTTAGTTAAGTTGCTTAGAACATCTATATTTATTGTGATTATAGTTATTGTGGAGTTGGGTTTTTTTTGTTGTTGTTGTTGTCGTTGAGCTTGAACTCTGGGCCTGGGTGCTGTCCCTCAGCTCTTCAGCTCAAGGCTAGTGCTCTATCACTTGAGCCACAGTGCACTTCCAGCTTTTTCTATTTTTGTGGTGCTGAGGAATTGAATCCAGGGCCTCGTGCCTGCAAGGCAAACACTCTACCACTGAGCCACCTTTCCAGTTGGTTTTTAAATCTGCTCTCTTGTTAATTTGTTCTCTGTCATATTTGTTTTTTGTTAATCCTTTCCCTCTCTTTACCTTCTTTTAATAGACTTAAATAGATTTTTTATAAGTATAATATTTTATTTACTGATCTCTCTGAAATATACTAAAATCCTTATAACTAAGGAAGCTTTTCATGCTAAAATACTGAGCATGACAAACTTCTACCAAAATTATTTTAATATAGAGCCTTCACTTGAACCAACCTATGAACATTACTTTTAGATGGTAAAATCTGATTACAAATATAGGATCATATGAAAAATTCATACTTCTGGGTTGCTGGAAAAAAAATTTGAGAATCATGTTTAAACTACAAAGTTTAGTTTGTATAACCCTCAGCCCTTTGGAGAAATAACATGTAGAAAATACATAGTGGATAATCTGTGATACAGTGGTTATAGGCCATATTGATTCTATATTTGCAATCTGATTTTCACATAACTGCTCTTGTTTTGATCACTGAAAATAAGACTGAAAGACCAAGTGCAGACAGAACTCAACAAAGTGGCACTACTTTAAAATTACAGTGTTAGCTAGGAATCAGTGGCTCACTGTAATCTTGACTACTCAGGAGGCTGAGATCTAAGGATTCTGGATCAAAGCCAGCCCAGACAGACAAATCTAGGACATTTACCTCCAGTTAACCAGCAAAAATCCAGAAGTAGAGGGGTGGCTTAAGTGGATAGACCACCAGCCTTGAGTATAAAAGCTAAGCAAGAATGCAAACCCTTGAGTCAAAGCTCCAGAACTAGCGCGCGTACGTGTACGTGCACACACACACACACACACACACAATTATAGTTTTAAAGTCTAAAAGGTAAAGGTAAAGCATGCTTCTTATTCAGAACCTAGACTTCACACCATTGCCATGGTACATAACAATGCATTTAGTGATTTGTTAATAGCACAGCACATTGTATGCTCCAAAAGAAACGTAATGATCCAGTAAAATCATTTATTGTGTCTTAAAAACAAATGACCTAAGTTTAAGGATGAACTGGCTTTTCTTGGTATTTCCTTTTCAAATTACTAATATAAACTCACCAAGAATAAATTATATATTTCATTAAACTCCAAATAATATGCCAAAAGTTTCTGAGTTGGTATATCTTATTCAATTTCTAAAACTAAACAAAGAGGTTTTTGGTTTTTTTTCCTGACCTAAGCATTTATATCCCTAGCTCTCTAAGTTAACATTAAGAAGAAAGTACAGCCAGGTGCTGGTGACTCATGCCTGTAATGCTAACTACTTGGGAGGTATTGAGATCTCAGGATTGAGATCTGAGGATTGTGACTCAAAGCCAGACAGAATTATTTGTGACACTCTTATTTCCAATTAGCCAGCAAAAACAAAGCCAGAAGTGGATGTGTAGCTCAAGTAGTAAAGCACCAGCATCGAGTGAAAAAACAAAATGAGAGCTCAAGGCTCTGAGTTCAAGCCCCAGTACTGGCTCCAAAAAATAAAATAAGGAAGAAGGACTAGCTTACTTATTATCTAAGTATTTTCTGTCTTAACACTCACTCTATTTCAAATAAGTTACTTCTGAATGTGACAAAGCCTAGAAGTCTGATTTTACCACAGTAACACTTGCAGGATTCCTGGCCCATTAGTTGACTGTGGAATTTCTCAACCTTCTCCTCATCATGAGCTTGCTCTTGTCTGTACATCAGACTCAGTCACCTGTTACATTAATGCACCAGTTCTCATCGGCTTGCCTGGATTGTAGAACCACATGTTCCTCATAGGGTCTGCTGCTCAGCCAGGTGGATGTTCCCAGGTCTGGAACTGTGCATTATAGCAGATGCCGAAGGAGGCATGGGAGAAAAGGCCACGGATGCAAGCTGGTCATCTGCCCAGCTGCCTCTTCTTCCCAGGGCCACCACTGGTGAATCTGAATATGTTCAACAATTCTATTTCATCTTCTCTGTTGGGTTATTATTTATACATGTCTGATTTGTGTCTTGTTACTTTAAGATATATATTATAGCCAGGCACTGGTGGCTCATTCTTGTAAGCCTAGCTACTGAGATTTGAGGATGGTGATTGAAAGCCAGCCCAGGCAGGAAAGTCCATGAGACTCTTATCTCCAGTCAACCACCAAAAAATCTGGAAATGGAGGGGTGGATCAAGTGGTAGAACACAAGTCTTAAGCAGACAAGCTAGGGGACAGCACTCAGGTCCTGGGTTTAAGCTCCAGTGCAGGTGTGCATGCGCGCACTCACACACACACAAACATACAGACACACACATGTACACGCGCATACACAATTCATATTAGATATCTTCAATATATTACAACCTACCTTCAAGTAATATTATGCCAATTCATGTGTAGTATAAGAAACTTTGTAAACTATACTTCAAGTTTTCCTCTCTCAGAACTTTAATATATTGCTCTACTTTAATATACATTTTACTTACATATGTTATAAACCCTATAACACATTGTTATTTTTTATTTAGACAGTTCTTTTTCATAGCAATTTTATTGAGATATTTTCATATTGTATAAAGCATACAATTCAGTGGTTTCTTTCTCTTTTTATTCCTGTTTTTGTTTTTTTTTTTTTGTCGGTCGTAGGGCTTGAACTCTGGGCCTAGGCACTGCCCTCAGCTCTTCAGCTCAAGACTAGCGCTCTACCACTTGAGCCACAGCGCCACTTCAGTTTTCAGGTGGTTAATTGGAGATAAGAGTCTCACAGATTTTCCTGCCTAGACTGGCTTTGGACCACGATCCTCAGATCTCAGCTTCCTGAGTTGCTAGGATTACAGGCGTGAGCCACCAGCGCCTGGCTTGGTTTATTTCTTATATTCTGATTTGTAGAGTTATCACCACAACTGTTTTTTGAAACTCTTTACCAAGCCCTCTATTTCCCTCCCACATCCCTCAGTCTGGGTCAACTCCTGATTAAAGCTCTTTGTCACAATTTGCCTATTTGAAGTATCTCACATAAATGGAAACATATACTACGTTTCCAAGTACTTCCTCAGCTAAGTTTTACCTCTCTCACCTGGACCCCAGCTGCAGTCTGGCCTTCCTGCGCCCACCCTCATTCTCCTGTAGTGTGTCTGTCCTCAGCACAGAAGTCAGTCAGGACTGTTCTGTCTTCTCTCATGTTACTAGCATTCGTGCAGGCTGGAATATGAATATTTTCTCTTTTTCAGATCTAATTTACCAGTCAGTTTTGTCCATTTCTGCTTGTTAGAATTATATTTCTGTGTGACCCACAGTTATTGTCTTGATTTGCTGCATTCCTGATTATTCTTGGACAAGTACAATGGCCTCTTGTTTTCTTGCTTTTAATCTGTCCTTGATTCCTTTCTCCATGTGATTTCAGTTGTCTGAACTTGGTATCTAATCACAGCAGTTCCATGTTTATTTTTCCCAGTGTACACAAAGCAGACTTCTTAGCCTGGCTTAGGGTGCCCTCTGTTTTGTAGTCTCAATGTGACTTTCTACTCTTCTTCTCAGACAACCCTAGGTCCATAGGACAGAACACATGCTACGTGTGTGTGTGTGTGTCTGTGTCTGTCTGTCTGTCTGTCTGTCTGTCTGTCTGGTTTGTCTGGTCTGTCTGTGTTGTACTGGGGCTTGAACTCTAGGCCTCCAGCTCTCAGTTGGCTTTTTAAAATCAAAACTAACGCTCTACTACTTGAGCTACACTTCCATTTCTGGATTTTGGGTGGTTAATTGGAGACAAGAATCTCATGGACTTTTCTGTCCAGACTGCCTTTGAACAAAGATCCTTAGAACTCAGCCTCCTGAGTAGCTAGGACTACAGGTATGAACCACTAGCTTCCACACTCCACTCTCTTCCTCCATCTCTGCTTCCTTGAGTGAGCTCCTTCCTCTGCCTTGAGTTGCTTTTTCTCTGCCTGATGAACTCCTTCTACAAAGCCCTACTTAAATGGCTCCTTCCGCCTCTTCTGATGTCTTCCACAGGCTTTCAGGTAGGCCTTCTTTCCCAGCTCCACTGAACTTGCAACATATTTATAGTTACCCTTCTCTGTGTGGTAACTACTTGTTTTCATGTGTGAATTCACACTGTTAATTCTTCCAAGGAGAGAATTTTGTTTTATAATTTTAGTTTCCTTGGTTCTGCTATATGACATGGAAAGCCATCCTATAGGATAATCTAAAATGGTTGTACTTTAACATCAGTTATCTAGACTAAGAACTCTTATCTATGTAGATTTCTTGCTAAATATGTAATATTTGGTATTTTGTTTCAGATATGAGATGGAAAAATAAGTTCTGGGGCAAATCCATGGAAATTGTCCCAATTGGCACAACCCATGTGACTCTACCAGCGTAAGTTCCTCTTGTGTGGCTAGGAACTTACAGAATTTTAGAGCTGAGAATTCACCATAGTGACAGGGTTCTCACCATCCAGGGCACTGGGAGTATGTTTTAATCTTCCCTTTTCTCTTGTTGCAGAGCTAGGGACGAAATATAGAACCTTTTGCACACTGGGCAGGCATTCTCCTACTTGATCTATCCTCATCCTTGTTTTGTTCTTTTTATCTGATGGGCAGTGGGTTCAGATTGTCTCATCTGGGAAATCTGATTAGCTCATGAGTTTTTTTCCCCCTCAAGTGGAAATGCCTCCCACAAATTAAACTTCCCTGAGTAGATTTTTAGAAACTCACGTCTACTTCCTAATGAAGATTAAGAATGGGAGTTTTTCTTTAAGCTGGTCATGCCTTACTCTTTTGTAATTGCCTTTAAGAAAGACATGGCCTTGACCTTACAGGGATTATTGGTACTTACTCATATAAAATGATTATCAGAACTCCTGAACAAAAGCTGGAGCGCTTTACCTACTCGCTCTGCCTCTTGCTACAGGTTGCCCTTGGCCCTTAGCTCCATAAGTACTATATAAATACTTTCTTCTGGTAAAAGGTGTAATTGTGCAAATTGTATAGAACTCTCCTAACAGTCAGGCACTGGGGACTCATGCCTGTGACCCTAACTAATCAGGAGGCTGAGTGAAATCTGAGCATCATGGTCCAAAGTGAGATCAAGGAAGAAAAATTAGGAAAGTTTGTGAGACTCTTCAGTTAACCACCAAAAAGCCAGAAGTAGAGGTGTGGCTCAAATGGTAGAATGTCAGTCTTGAATGAAAAAGCTAAGGGACAGCATCCAGGACCTGAATTCAAGCCCTAGTAAAATGAAATTTTTAAAAAAATGTATCTTTCTCCCATCCTAGTTTGGTTACATTAGTGAAGCTCTCACTGGTTTCCAGCATGGGGGAATCTGACCCTGTCCTGGCAGCTCCGTGGGGAACAGCAGCTCAAATCACAGGATGCCCAAAGCCTGGAGGGAGGGGCTGAGCGGTTTGTCACCTGGCTTAACTTGGGGACAGCAGAGTTTATTTGCATTGGCCACTGGCTCTTCTGGGAATCGTTACTTTGGCTTTCTCCTCCCTTATAGTTTCGGAGATCATTTTGAGTGGAACAAAGTGACCTCTTGTATCCACAATATCTTAAGTGGTCAGAGGTGGATTGAGCACTATGGAGAGATTGTCATCAAGAACCTAAGTGATGACTCCTGCCACTGCAAAGTGAACTTCATAAAGGTAACCAGAGCAGCCCTCCTCCCCCCCTTACCCCCCCCCCCCCCCCCGAGCTCTCACGCTGGATGGGCTGACCTGCAGATTCAGGTCCTCAGGACACAGGCCATCTTAAGGGATCTTTCACGGGACCTTTGTGCCAGAAGCTCCCTAGTCCCAGCCCACTGTGTCATCTGGACCAACACCATGTCCTCTCTAGCCTCCCTCCTCCTGCTCTCATCCCCTGCCCCTGCTGCCCATCCTCATCCCAGAGCCAGAATGCCGCCATGGTGCCACAACACCAGTACACTATAAAGACACTATGGCATATGTCTAAGTGGGGTAAGCCAGACTCAGGAAGACACAGACTGTATGATCCAATTACACGAGGTTCCCAGAGGAGCCACATTCACAGACAGAAAGCAGAGCGAGTGATTTCCATGGGCTGGAGTAGGGAGGAATGGGGAATTGGCCTTTCATATATATGGAGTTTTGATTTGGGAAGATGAGAACATTCTGGAAATTGATAGTGGTGATGATTGTATATGATGAATGCACTTAATATTATTGAATTCGGTTAACATAAAGCTGAGTGTGATGGTACATATCTATAGTCCCAGCACTCAGCAAACTACAGCCAGGAGGATTGCAATTTTGAGGCCAGTCTGGGCTGTACAGTGAGTTCTTATCTCAAGAAGGAAAATGTTATGTTCATATGTTTACTATAAGAAACTCATACCACTTGGTGCCAGTGGCTCCCACCTGCAATCCTACCTACTCAGACTGAGATCTGAGGATCCTGGTTCAAAGCCAGTCCAGGCAGGAAAGTTCATGAGACTCTTTTTCTCCAGTTAATCACCAAAAGCCCAAAGTGAAGCTATGGATCAAGTGGTAGTTCATAAAAGCTCAATGACAGCACCCAGGCCCTGAGCTCAATCCCTAGACCTAACACAGAAAGAAAAGAGAAGCTTATCCCAACACTGGTGTCAGGGCTCAAGTGGTAAAGTAATTACCTAGCATTCACAAGTCTACTTCAAGAAAGAAAGAGGGAACTAAGTGGGGAGGATGGGGAGTACAAGGGGAGAGAAGGCAGAAAGAATGGAGGAAGGGAGGAGAGGGGGGAAGAAGAAGGGAAGGGGAAAGAAGGAATTGATGCCACATTATTCTTTTGAAAAAAATCCCTCCAACACCTTCCATCTTCCTTGGAGTAAAAGCTTACATCCTTACAAAGGCCTGCATGGCTCCTAACAGCCCGTCCTCCCCATCCGTAGCCCTTTGCACACATACACACATTTGCATATACAACATACACACTCTCCCCTCATTCTTCTCCAAGGTCCGCTCACTCCTCCTTCTTCCCATCGCTTTCTCCTTACCTCACTGGCCCTTCCTCATTTCCTTCTGCCTTGACCACTCAGATTCCTGAATCTTCACCCTAATCAACCTTTCACTCTTTTTCATATTGCCTTTCCTTTAGAGTTTTTGTGACTACTGGGTTTTTAGCTTGGTAGTGATTGCTTTACCTGTTTCTCCTCTCTCCACAGCCTCCTCACCATCCTCATGCTGGGCTAGGTAGCTTACTCCTGTAGCCCTGCTGCCTGGTGCCTAGCTCACAACAGAGCTCCTAACAGTAGAGAAAGATGGGCCAGATGCAGTAGATATATGATTATCTTTTCCAGCTACCTTGACTTGAGGTTGTCCTCCATCTTCTCTTCCTCCTCTCTCCTCCACCTCTTCCTCTTAAAAATGCATTTACTTAATGTGGTTTTTAAGTATTACCGTTGTTCAGAAATATTTACATTTAGTTCAGATCAAAATGGTGAGCTGAGAGGGGAGGTCCCAACTGTGGAATTTCATATAAGTCTGCAGCATCTAGGGGGGTACTTAGGATGAAGCTGAATGGGGTCTTTGTTATAATCTACAAGTCCAATGAAGTTGTAAACAGATATAAAACTGGCCATGACAACTTTGCGTGGCAAAATCTAAATGCTGCCCTCCTGGAAGCTTTGCCTAAGCTGTCTGCAAAAGAAGCAAAGGTAGCTGGGCGTCGGTGGCTCACACCTGTAATCTTAGCTACTCAGGAGGCTGAGATCTGAGGATCCCGGTTCAAAGCCAGCCTGAGCAGGAAAGTCCAGGAGACTCTTATCTCCAATTAACCACCAGAAAATCAGAAGTGGCGCTGTGGCTCAAGTGGTAGAGTGCTAGCCTTGAGCTGAAGAGCTCAGGGACAGTGCCCAGACTCAGAGTTCAAGCACCATGACCACCACCACCACCAACAAAAAAAAGCAGCCTGGAACAGAGGTGTGTTACCCTTGATCCATGGGAAAACCATTTGGGTGTCAACGTTTTTGCCAAGGACATGTGCTCTACTCCATGTCTACCCTCACCTGTCCCATCCACTCAAGGTCTGAGAGAGAGTTTTTGTTATTGTTGTTGTTGTTTGAGGGTTTTTTGTTTGTTTGGGCACTACTGGGGTTAGAACCCAGGGCCTTATGCTTGCTAGGCAGGCATTCCAATATTTGAACCACTCTCCCAGGCCCTATCTGCATTGATTATTTTCAAGACATGGTCTTTCTTTATGTTTGTATCAGCCTGGACTGCTGTCCTCCTAGTTTTGCTTGCCCTGTAACTTAGGATGACAGGCACACACCACTGTGCCCAGATATTGGTCAAGAGGGAGTCACTAGCAATGTCCTGTTCTCTGCCTGGTCTACAAGGTGAGACACTATACCTAGCTGTTGTTTTTTGAATCAAGATCTCACTGGGTAGTCCAAGTAGGCCTCAAAACTTGCGATCCTTCTGCCTAAACCCTCTCAAGTGCTGGCATTACAGGTGTGTGCTACCATGCCCAGCTTCAGAGATGAAATTATTGAAGTTATAAGATGAATATTGGATATGCCTCCAGTCAGTTACCCATGGACTGTGACTCACCCTCTGACTTCCTGTCCAGTGTCAGCCTTCGGTTTTTTAGTGAATATCCCTGAGAGAAAAATCTGACCCTTGTTTTTCAGTGAGCCTAGGTTTGGACTATTGCTTTTCCCCTCTTTTATATAGCTGGGTAACTCAATTTTAAATTCCTCCTTCACCTCTGAGACACTGTTGTTCCTGTCCCTTCCTTCCATTTCTATCAACAGGCTTGGAGGTTTGAAGCTGAAATACCAAAACATGGCCTGGAAATGCCACTCAAAGTTATTGGTTTCCAAATATGACTTCTGCTTCAGCTGGAAATATTGCTAGGACTTTTTTATTTATAGAGCAATGCCTTCTGTTCTTTATAGAGATTCTTAGGGAAGCTAGGTAGTTGGGAGATGATTGGGGGAGGGTGGGGAGAGCAGGGAGGTCATCTCAAGGGAGTTGGGCGCTCCCTCTGCTGGCTGGACAGTGGTACTGTTTGAAACCCAAAAGGCTGAATTGAGCTGGGATGTGCTGGTCTGCCGCTGTGTGCAGACCTCATAGATCACAACCAGTGCTCTTTGAAAATGTTCACAGATAAAGGTCCTGTGTACTAGATAAGAAGTCCTAATCAAAGAAATTTGGAAATTTTGAGTAACATCCTGAAAATTTTTGCAAATGACTGTCTACTTCCTGTGGAGGAAAAAAAAATTACAAGTTAAATTTCTTCTAAATTATAGTGGTCAGAGGTATAGCTCTGTAAGTGACAATGGCAGGCATGAGACAGCTGCCCCACAGAAGGGGTCTTAGAGACCAGCCATGCTCTTAGGCAAGGGTCTGAAGAGACTTTCATTCCTGAACCACACATAGCAAACGTGATGGGGGGATGTATCTGATGCAAACACTGGATCGAGTTACAAATGGCAAAATTAACCGTTAATTTTTATTAAATAACTAAAGGTGATATTGGAAAAGAAGAAAAGAAAGGGGAAGGAGGAAGGGAGAGGGTGTGTGTGTGAGAGAGAGACAGAGAGACAGAGACAGAGAGAATATCTAGGCTTAACAGATACATAGACCAACGAAAACAATATAGATAGCCTAGAAACAAATCCATGCATTTACAGTTAACTGATTTTCAACAAAGCCACCAAGAACACATGATGAGAAAAAGAAAGTCTCTTCAATAAATGGTGTTGGAGGAAAAATTGAATATCCACATGCAGAGCAGTGAAACTCTTTATTTCATACCATATACAAAAATCTAAAGGGCAGCTGGGCACCAGTGGCTCATGCCTATAATCCTGGCTACTCAGAAGACTGAGATCTGAAGATCATGGTTCAAAGCCAACCTGGGCAAGAAAGTCTGTGAGACTCTTATCTCCAATTAACCACTCAGAAGACCAGAAGTGGTGCTGTAGCTCATGTGATAGAATGCTAGCCTTGAGCTGAAGAGCTGAGGGACAGAGCCCAGGCCCAGAGTTCAAGCCCCACGACTGACAAAAAACTAACTAAATAAAAGACTTAAAACATAAGAGCTAAAACTGTAAAGTTACTCAAAGAAAACTCAATGGAAAAAGCCCTATGGTGTTGATCCAAACAGTAATGGTTTGGGTAGATTCCTGAAACACAGGCAACAAAGCAAAAATATTCAAATGGAATTGAATCAAACATGCCTCTCACAGAAATGGAATTGAATCAAACAAACATGCCTCTCACAGCAAAGACAAACAATCCATACAGGGAAGAAACCTACAAAGTAAGGAGAACATATTTTCAAATTATGTCTGATACGATGTTAACATACAAAATATTTAAAGAACTCAACACAAAAACAAGAAAATAATCTTATTTTAAAATGGGAAAAGGAGCTAGAGATATACTTGAGTGATAAAGCACTTACCAAAAGACCTTGGCTTTGATCTTACCCACACCAAAAAAGGCAAAGTATCTGAACAAACATTTTCTCAAAAAGAAAGATCCCCTCCCTTCCCTATCCCCTGTCAGTCATGTGGCTTGAACTCTGGGCCTTGGGGCTGCCCCTGAACTTTTTCTCTCAAGGCTCTACCCCTTTGAGCCATGGCACCACTTCTTGAGCTATCTCTTAGAATAGCTATTATAAAGAGATATAAGATAGATGTTCGGAAGGCTGTGGAAAAACAGAACCCTTACAATATGTTAGTGATATAAATTAGTACAACCATGGGAGGAAAACAGATTCTCCAGATATTGTTCCAGCAATTCTACCATGGGCATAAATCCAAAGAAAATGAAATCAGTCTGTGGAAGGGACATCTGTACTCCGGTATTTATTGCAATTATTCACAGTAGCCAAAGTGCAGAATCAGCCCAAGTGTCTTTCAACAGAAGGCTAAAGAAAATGTGGTGTATAAGTATACAATGGAATTTTATTCAGCCATAAAAAAAGGATGAAGTCCTCGTTTGTGACAGCATAGATAACCTGGCAGGTATTATATTGAGTGAAATAATTAAGCGTAGATAAAAAAATACATGGTCTTATTTATATATGGAATCTGAAAAGGTGGAACTCTTTAACAGGAAGTGGAATAGTGGTTCTCACTGGTAGCAGTGAGAATTGAGAAACCTTTGTCAAAGGATATAGGATTTCAATGGGCAGGAATAAGTTCAGGAGAACTAATTGTGACTTGATAGATACAGTTAATAAAAATGTATCATATACTAAAATATTGCTAAAAGTACTTTTTAAGTCTTCTTGCAGAAGTATGTAGCAGGGTGCCAGTGAATCAAACTTGTAATCCTACTCAGGGTACTGAGATTCAGATAACTGTGGTTTGAAGCCAAACAAGGAGAAAAAGTTTTTGAGACTCCATCTCCAGTTAGCCAGCAAAATGCTGGAGCGGAGGTGTGGCTCAAATGGTAGAGTGCTAGCAAGAAAGCCAAGCAAGAGCACAAGGCCTTGAGTTCAAACCTTGGCAAGGGCTTAGAACATGGATATGAGGTAAATAGTATCTGTATATATACTTTTTGGACATACACTTTCTTGTTGGTTAAAGAGAACCTAGAACTGGCAAACCAGTGGTGCTGTACAAAATCAGTCTATAGTCCTTCCTCTTTCCTTTAGTTTTCTTTATTTAACATCTGTAATAAGCTGATCCTTTTGTAGTACCACTCAGACATCTGTCATTTGCATCCTAGGCAAAATACTGGAGCACTAATGCCCACGAGATTGAAGGCACAGTCTTCGACAGGAGTGGAAAGGCTGTGCACCGGCTGTTTGGGAAATGGCATGAAAGCATCTACTGTGGAGGCTCCTCATCCTCCATATGCGTCTGGAGAGCCAGTGAGTTTGGGAGCTTAGCTACCCCAGGCAGAGAGACCTTGGGTGGGAAGGGTAAGAGGATCCACCCTTAGACAGGAGTCAGCTCCACTTGGGTCTCCAGCCTGTATCTGCTGTGAGCCAGGGTAGTGGTGTTAGCCTTTATTTCCTTCATGTAATCACTTTTCAGAGTCCTGGTCCCTTTCCAGCAGAACCTCATTGGGGCTGCTTGCTCCTGGATTGTTCATCCCAGGATGAAATTGCCATTACTAGTATACATGTCAGACCGACTGTAGAGGCACCTTGAAGGAACTTCAGTGGCATGCAGTCATTCTAGAATACCAAGAGGAGAAAATGAGGTTTTCAAGAGTGAGAGGTCCCAGATTGACCCAGTCCATATGCCTTTTGATAGCCTGTAGTTTCCACAGGACTCTGAGACCTTGAAGCAACTGTGGGGATAAAGGCAAGAGAACCCCGAGCTACCTCAACATGTCCCCTTAGTCCATCCAGTCTGAAAGATAAATACCCAAGGCAGGGTCATTTGTAAAACCGGTTATGAACTAGAGCGTTTAACATACTTAGGCTGATAAAAACTTAACAGAAAGAAAAGTTTACTAATTAATGGCTTTAAAACTTTACTATTGCCGGGCGCTGGTGGCTCACGCCTGTAATCCTAGCTACTCAGGAGGCTGAGATCTGAGGATCGCGGTTCAAAGCCAGCCCGGGCAGGAGAGACCGTGAGACTCCTATCTCCAATAAACCACCAGAAAACCGGAAGTGGCGCTGTAGCTCAAGTGGTAGAGCGCTCGCCTTGAGCTGAAGAGCTGAGGGACAGCGCCCAGGCCCAGAGTTCAAGCCCCACGACCGACAAAAAAAAAAAAAAAAACTTTACTATTAATGGCTTAAACCAGGAGGATAAATTGTAAATATGAAAAAGAAACTGGGGTACCTGTTGGAGATGATATTTTTTTAAGAGAGGGAACAGGAAGTATAACAAAGGGGGTGAAATTGATTGGATTATACTATAACCTTATGTGGAATGTAACAATGAAATACTGCTCCCCCACCCTGTATAGCTAACATAAGACAAAAAAAAATCTCATGAGGATATGTTCTCTTACTTAAGAATAAGTGAGAGGTAGCTCCAGGTTTGTTTCCCTGGCACCTTACCCATCCTAAGGACACAGATCAGTCAGGACACATTTTATCACCCTTCGTCTGCCATGATATTCCCTCATGCATGGAAATAGTTGTCACAATTCAGTGTCTACCCCTATATAACCATGACCCAGGCAGGGAGGAACAGGAAAGGGAAAACAAAAGCTAGGTCCTCACATATCTCCTTATTCTCAGGAGTGCAGTATTTCATATGACCGCTCAGTAACAATGTGCATACAGCCCATCAGCATGAAGGGGGTCTACCACTGAACCAATTGTGGGCCACAGGGCAGGCAGAGGAAATTTAGGTGGACTTTGGTTCATGCCTGGGGATGGGGCAGTGCAATCATAAGAGAACTGGTGTTCCATTAGCAAATACAAGGAATGACGGAGGTGTGGGGCGCTAGCCATGTCTCTTCCAATAGGCAGTAGCCACATCTTCCTCTGAAGAGGTCGACAGGAAACCACAATGAATTGTCCACTAGCTTGAGCAGGCACAGGTGAGATTTTGGAGGGGGACGGTCTCTCCTCTGCTCTAGTATATCTCACAGACGAGCGCAACCTCTCCAAATTCCTCTCTGAATGTTAAAAGAAACGTGTTGACATTGTTGCTGTTATAATTCCTTGACTTTATGTCTGTATGTTGGCCCTGAGCATCGCTGGGTCTCTTGAGGTAAAGCAACCGTTCTTCATTGGTGATTGGAGGACTAGAGTGGAAGACACAGTAGAAAGCTTTGTCCAGGCTTAAGAAACACAGAATTGAGTTACCAGGGGGACTTCTGGAACTTCAAAATGGTCTGCAGACAAAAGCATGGCAACATTTAGATGTAGATGTGTAGCTAAGGCCAGAGGTAGATATTTTTTTGTCTACATTAGGTTTGCTTTACACATAAACTTGGGATGTATTTAGCTAGAATTCAAGTTAGAGCCATATACTTAATTTTTCTAAAGTTAAAATGAGGACCAAGTATGATGGCTCATGCCTGTAATCCCAGCTACACAGGAGTCATAGATAGGAAGGTCATAGTCCGAGGACAGCCCTTGATTTGTGAGACCTCATTCCACCAACACCACCCCCAAAAAAAGAAGAAAAGAGCTGGGGTGCAGCTCAAGTGTTAGAACACCTCCTGTCTAGCAAATTTGAAGCCCTGAGTTCAAACACCATTACAGCAAGGGAAAAATGAAAAGATGTCACATTTTAGGGAACAAGAATTGGTGAAGAAAACCTGACACACTAATAAAAGCCCGAATTTACACAAGAAATAAAGAGTTGGTTAAAGGATGAGAGGAAGGTTAGTATAGAACAAAGACCACTTACTATGGGTTCAACACTGTTTATGCTAAAAGACAAAGTTTAAGAGAGTTGTCCATTACCTACATAAAACAAAACAAAAATGGATGGAGAGTGTAGTTGGTTAGGAAAAGCAATCTAGAGGTTTTAAAAGGTACATTTAATAGCAAATTATATTATTATGTAGCTCAAGTAGTATGGAAAATTTGCAGCATTATGTAGGACCAAACAAAAGAGAACTATATCCTTGAAGGCAGAAGAAAATTTATGGAAAGAAAATTGATAGAGAAATATTCAGCACTTATTTTCTAATCAGAATATTTTAATCCAAATAGAATAGTTTCGTGCTGAGCAAGAACTTTAGCTGCTCTGAAATGAGAAAGATGAAGGAATTAAAAGGTAGCATGAATGAAGTGCAATGCAGGGATAATGGTGTTTTTCTCTTTTAGATCCCATGCCCAAAGGCTATGAGCAATATTATGGCTTCACACAGTTCGCTCTAGAGTTAAATGAAATGGATCCATCGTCAAAGTCTTTGTTACCACCGACAGACACTCGATTTAGACCAGATCAAAGGTAAGGGCTCTTTTTTAAACGACCTTTCTCCCCACAGATGTAAAGCCAAGTGTGGTGGCACACTTCTGTAATCCTTGAACTCGGGAGACGGGGCAGGAGGACTGTGAGTTCAAGGTTAAACCATGCTATGTAGTGGTATCCTGTATTAAGCAAAACAAAACAGGTGGTGCTAATAGCTGCCTAGAGAGGCAGGTGATGTCACCAGTAGTAGACAGGTGAGTGAAGTTGGGGGAGGGGAGTAAGTGTGTCAGAGAGAAATGTAGCCTCGCTTCAATCCATGGTGTGACATGACTGTCAGCAGAGCGCCATTTCTATTGAAAATTTTTTCAATTTTATTTTGAAATGTTTTACTGTGTGCAGAAATAAAAGAACTTAGTCTATATTTGAAAGTATAAGAACATTCAGATCAGCTAGGTGCCAGTGGCTAGCTTCTCAGGAGGCTGAGATGTCAGGATCACCATTTGAAGCCAGCCCAAGGAGAGAAGTCTGTGAGACTTTCATCTCCAATAAACTATTCAGAAAAAGCCATAAGTGGCACTGTGGCACAAGTAATAGAATGCTAGCCTTGAGCACAAAATCTCAGGGTCAATACCCAGGCCCCAAGTTTAAGCTCCAGGTCTGCCAAAAAAAAAAAGAAGGGGCTGGGAAGGTGGCTCAGTGGTAGAGTGCTTGCCTTGCATGCATGAGGCCCTGGGTTCAATTCCTCAGCATCACATATGCAGAAAAAGCCAGAAGTGGCACTGTGGCTCAAGAGTAAAGTGTTAGCCTTGAGCTGAAGAGCTGAGGGACAGTGCCCAGGCCCAGATTTCAGGCCCCATGACCAACCAAAAAAAAAGAAAGAAAAGAAAAACAACACAACATCCACGTCCCCTAATCCTTCAAATTTAAATTAATTTGGTGCATTGAGATCTAGCTTTCAATTGTACACTGCTGCTAACAAGCTATGTAGTAGAGAAACGTTTCTCAATATTTCTCAGCCTCAGTTTCCTACTCTGTAAAATGGAAAGAATAGTCTTGCCTCCAAAGGCTTTTCTAATTACGCCTCAAAACCCAGAAGCCAAAAGAAAGAAAAGATTGCTATGTTTTACTCTGTGTGTGAGTGTGTGCATGCATGCGTGCACTTGCACATACGCATACATACACACACACACACATATACACACACATCAGTACTGGCTGGGCCTAAACTCAGGGCCTCACTCTATCACTTGGCTTTTTCATTCATGGCCATCACTCTGCCACTTGAGTCATACCTCCACTTCTGGCTTTTTGGTGGTTAATTGGAGATAAGAATCTCCATGGGCTTTCCAGCCTGGGCTGGCTTTGAACCTCAATCCTCAGATCTCAGCTTCTTGAATAGCTAGGTTTATAGACATGAGCCACCAGCACCTGTATTGACTTTATTTTTTGTTAAGTCTTCTTAATAGATAAATATATATAATTCATAAAAAGATAAACAACCATTTATAACTCATCTCATGCATGAGTTCTAAAAAATATAATAGGTCAACCCATGAGAAACAAAATGGACATAGAAAAATGGATAGTTCACAAAATACTGAATGCGGTGCTCCTTAAACATATGCAAAGAAGTTCAGTCTCACTCATAATGTGAAAATTGTTCATTTTGAAGACTGAATGGGCTTACTATTTCTTACCTTCTCACTTTGGTTTAAGTGATAGGGCTCAAGAAGAAAGGGTACTGACAACATGTGGGTGGGATGTAAGTAGAAGAGCAGTTTGTCATGTATGAGTTGCCATTTTACCCTTCAACCCAGCAGATTCTCTTCTAGAAATTTCCCCTACAGATATGCTTTCCTACTTGTAACATTAGAGATATATAGGTTATTTGTTGTGCTATTAATCATAGCATGTTAAAAATAGGAAAAAAAAAAGGAACAACCAACTGCTTGTTAATAATTACTTAAATAAATTGAGGTTTACCTACACATTTTATTTATTTATTTATTTTTGGGTCCGGTTGTGGGGCCTGAACTCTGGGCCTGGGTGCTGTCCCTCAGCTCTTCAGCTCAAGGCTAGCGCTCTACCACTTGAGCCACAGCGCCACTTCCAGCTTTTTTCTTTTTGCTTATGTGGTGCTGAGGAATCGAACCCAGGGCCTCATGCATGCAAGGCAAGCGCTCTACCACTGAGTCACCTTCCCAGCCCCAAGAACATATTCTTATATTTGCATAAATGTTTGGAAAAAAATCTCTAAACAGGTACCCAAAAAACCAATAACAAGGTTGCTGGTAATGAGAAGGTGAAGGGGATAGGGTTGGGTAAGAAGAAGCAGTAAGAATTGGGGAAAAGATAGGGAGACCTCACCCCAAATTCTTTTATTGATACAGTACTTTTGACCATGTGATGCCACTAATTTACAAAATGATATCTTTCTTCCTCTTCAAAATATTGTTCTGAGCTGAGCACTGTGGCTCACACCTGTAATCCTACCTACCTAGGAGGCTGAGATCTAAGAATTGCAATTTGAAGCCAGCCGTGATAGACACATTTGTAAGGCTCTTATCTCCAGTTAACAGCAAAAAGCCAGAAGTGGAGCTGAGGCTCAACTGGTATAGTGCTAGCCAAAGCTGTGCAAGAGTGCAAGGTCCTGAGTTCAAGCCACGGTGCCTGCATACATACACAGTTTGAAGATTGGTGGAGAGGGAGGACTTAGGTATGGCAGATTTTGAATATCTAGTCTTAAACATGTGGAAGTTGCATAGTAGTGATTATTGTATTCTCTTGAGATCAATCTCCTTCCCCTTGTTTCCCTCCTTGCCTTAGGTTTCTAGAAGAAGGGAACATAGAGGAAGCTGAAACACAGAAGCAGAGGATTGAACAGCTCCAAAGAGAGAGGCGGCGGGTCCTAGAGGAAAACAACATGGAGCACCAGCCTCGGTTTTTCAGGTTTGGTCAGGATCTGCAGGGCGCTCTTGGGCTCAGAGACCCTGATGGCATTTCATGTTGCCATGTAGAGAAGGAATGCAAAGTTGGCCCTTCCCACTCAACAGCTTCTGGAAGGTGAAACTGAGGCTGCCCCAGCCCCTGTCCTAAGGCAGGACTGGCACCTTCCAATTTTGCATGTCATCGTGCTTGTTCCCAATGACCCTGCAGTGCCTGCCCAGCAAGTCACTCAGTAAATACTTGTGGGAGAGGCAAGGAAATCAGTCAGAACTAGTCCTGGGTCCAGGCCAGCTTACAATTCAATTCATAGCTAAGGCTGTGTGCTGGTGGCTCACGTCTATAATCTTAGCTTCTCAGAAGGCTGAGATCTGAGGATCACAATTTGAAGCCAATCAGAGCATGAAAGTCTATGAGACTCTTTTTTTTTTTTTTTTTCCAATTAACCTGTAAAAAGCCTGAAGTGGAGCGATGGCTCAAGTGGTAGATAGTACCAGCCTTGAGCAAAAAAGCTCAGGAACAGCTCCCAGACCCTGAGTTCAAGTCCCAGTATACACACACACAAATCACAGCTGAGCTTGCTTACCCACATAAATATATTTTATATGTACAACAGAAATAATTCATGAATTACCCAAATGGGATCCCTTGTAGTCCAAGCCTCATATGACAGATGTTGTAGTACAGCTGAACTCAAATTTGGAAGATTTACTGTTGCTTTTAAATAATTTGCTGAGCAAGTCTTGTTTTGATTTTTGTTTTTTGTTTTTCTGTCAATTGTGGGACTGGAACTCTGGGCCTGGGCACTGTCCCTCAGCTCTTCAGCCTAAGGCTAGCACTCTACCACTTGAGCCACAGCACCACTTCCCATTTTCTGAGTGGTTTATTGGAGATAAGAGTCTCATGGACTTTCCTGCCCAAGCTGGCCTTGAACCACAATCCTCAGATTTCAGCCTCCTGAGTAGCTAGGGTTATAGGTGTGAGCCACCTGTGCCCAGCTTGCAAGTCTTATTTATATTACTTAAATTTTGCAAAAGGATATGAGAGATTATGGCCCTCCACTAGTCCTCTTCTTTTTTTTTTTCTTTTTCTTAAATACTTTTGTAGGTTGTAGGCTTGAACTTAGGGCCTGGGCTCTGTCCCTGAGCTCTTTTACTCAAGGCTAGCACTCTACTACTTTGAGCCACAGCTCCACTTCCAGTTTTTGAGAGGTTTATTGGAGATAAAAGTCTTAGGGGGACTTTTCTGCCTGGGCTGGCTTCAGACCTTGATCCTCAGATCTCAGCCTCCTGAGTAGTTAGGACTACAGACAAAAGCTACCAGCACCAGGCTTTCTTCTTTATTTTAACTGAAAAGCAACAAAGATCCAGGAGCTGGAAACATGGCTCAAGTGGTAGAGTACCTATCTAGTAAGTGCAAGGCCCTGAGTTTTTGGTTTGCTCTTTTGTTGTTGTTGTTTTAGTTAAAGTTTAAATAAGCATGTGTAAAGGAGAAGCAAGTTCCCTCTCTCCTTCCACCCTGCAATTGTGTTTTGTTGTTGAATTGGTGCTAAGTCCTTTTTTTTTTTAAATCTTTGCCTATTTTGAATGGAAAACAAATAATTTGCAGAAGGACTTAGGATATCTCAGCAACAGTAATAAAGTATATATTCTAAGACATAAATAAAAATAGCAAGAAGTAGTATTTTATCTCCAAAATATAATGCTGTAACCACCTACATCTGGTAGATGTAGATTCTACTACATTTCGTCTGGTCATTTCCTCAAACTCAGGACATTGCAACTGAAGATCAACTCAGCAGAGATTTATCCTGAAATACTCATAACTTCATGTATACATTTCAAAAATAAAATAGACATCTTAAATTCTATTTTGAAAAGAAGCAAGGGATCAAAAAATGGCCAGATTAACAATGTGATGGATTTAGTTACTGACCACTTGATAAGATACATCTATACCTTTAAAGTAGGTTGTTCCTTAACTTCTTCTTTCATAAGTGACGTAATTTCATTTTTTAATGGAGAATCTGGATGGTTTCCAGTGGCTCATCTCAGTAATTCTAAGTACTCAGGTTTGAAGCCAACCTGAGTGGGAAAGTCTGTGAGACTCCTGTCTCCAGTTAACCAACAAAAAGTGAAAGTGGATCTGTGACCCAAGAGCTAGAGCACCAACCTTGAGCAAGGAAGCTAAAGGAAGCTAAATGAAGGCCCTGAGTTTAGGCCTCAGTACCAGCATAAAAATAAAAGAACAAGAAGGAGGTTGAGTGAGTGGAACTGGGAAAACAGCTTTTTTAAGCTTTTGACTTAGGTAACATTATCTATTAGAACAAAGGTAAAGCAGGACTGTTCTCTCCAGACTGCCACTGCTTCCAATTCCTTTTGGTTTTATTCTATTTTAATGTTGAACTTCTCACTTCCTATCAGCTTTCTGGTTGATATAAAGTTTTTACATAATCATTTCCCTAGGTAGTGGCAGTCCTTCCTTCTAGCCACATGTTATGTCCAGAAAGCCCCTGATGACCTCTCCTTTCCCCAGAAACACCACTCCGCACTGCCTGCAGGGCTGAGAAGTTCATGTCAAAAGGCACACTATGGTTTCCAGCTCAGCTGAGTACAGCTGAGGATGATGGGGATTGGGGGAAGAGTCAGGAGGGAAGGAAAGCAAGAGAGACAGAGAGATAGACTGAGACAGTTTTAGAGAGTTTAAGAAATGGTCTCATTTTCCCACAGGAAATCTGATGACGACTCTTGGGTAAGCAACGGCACCTATTTGGAACTTAGAAAAGATCTTGGTTTTTCCAAACTGGACCATCCTGTCTTGTGGTGAAAACGTTAAGAAGAAAGTTATGTTAGTGTCTCCTGCATTTGCTTCTGAAGCAGCTCAAACCTGTGTCTGTATATTTAAAAGATAGTATCTAGAATGATCACGTATGCTTTAGCTTGGCATAGTAAGTATTTACCTATGTATTTTCTTCACTAGTTTTCTGTACATTGTCAAATGGTATCATGATTCCATGATTGTTTATATGAATGTAGAACACCTTGGTATTTCTTTTTATATATAAACTATTTAATAAAAATTAAAGATTAATATTCATGTGTGGGTTAAAAAATAGAAGCTTTATCACTGATTTTCCAAAGGATGAAAAGATTTGAGTTAAATGTATGCCTTATAAAATTATGTTGTAGGAAAGAAAAAAAAATCAAACTCTCCTAGGTGCATTAAGAAATGCAGCCAGGCGCCAGTGGCTCATGCCTGTAATCCTACCTACTCAGGAGGCTGAGATCTGAGGATTGTGGTTCAAAGCCAACCCGGGAAGGAAAGTCCATGAGACTCTTTATCTCCAATAAACCACTCAGAAAACCAGAAGTGGTGCTGTGGCTCAAGTGGTAGAGTGCCAGCCTTGAGCTGAAGAGCTGAGGGACAGGGCCCAGGCCCAGAGTTCAAGCCCCACAACTGACAAAGAAAAAAAAGAAAAGAAAAAGAAGACTCCCAGGGTTACTCACTCATGTGGAAGCTACCCAAGTTTAATTTGGTAGCTGAGGTATCTTTTTGCCTCAGACAGCTCTTGAATTGTTCATCCAGAATAATTCTCCTGGTGCTGGAGCCTGAAGAATGTTTTCATTTACATTTTGGGGGTGGAAGGAATAGTATAATATCAGTGGAATGTATGTTTTTATATAAGATAGTTGTGGGGCACTTTCCTGAAGGGGGAAGCATTTGGGCTTGTCCCTCCCTCTAGTTCTGTCTTATATACAAAATCAGAGAAACCACAGTGGCATCCTGCAGAGGCAGTAGCAAAGTTTTCCTTAATAAGAGCCAAATCTTTGGCAAATTAAGAAACTACTTCCCACCACCCCCCCCCCCCCCAGCTTTGCAATCTCTCCTGTTTGACCATATCTCTGTTGACTCCAGGAGATCCCAGTTTAGTATAAGACATATAGTACACATTATACGGTAGGCTGACTTTTTAAAAGTTTAGCAAAACATAACTTTTAAATAATTCAACATGCTTTTCCTAAATACTGTTTTGGTATTCTCTACCTCTTAATCACCTTATTTTAGACCTTGTATAGAATGTTTGACCATCTGCCTTAGAGACAAATGTAGAGTTGCTGTCCTTTGCTGTTGTCTTCTGACAAAGCTGCAAGAGTCCAAACCATTTCCTACACTTTTTTATTTATATAACTCTGTGACTTCTGTAGCAGCGTCAGATACTAGATTATGAGAAAAGTTGTTCTTTTTATTTCAAATTACAGTAAAATAATTTGTGCAGTACTTGAATTGTGTTGTCAAAGCAATTTCAATTTCTGCCCAGATTACAGTTAAAACCAAAGCCTATTTGTTAAGCCTTTGTCAGGAATGTTAGTTAACTATTTTGTAATGCATCCAGGCTAGGGAAGTGGTAGAGTTTTCTCCAATACATTCTTAGACATTTAAAGAACTTCGAACCAAATGTTACAAATGAAGGAGAAAACAAATAATAGGGGAAAGATGAGTGGTTTTTTTTTGTTGACACTCCAAGTAACTGGACAGCATTGCATTTTCCAAATGGAGAGTTATTGAACATGATCGATCATCTTTTGGAATATTCAAGTGACTAGCATTTTAAAGCCTGTTAAATATGAGATCCATTTATTTCATTTTAAGGAGATGTCAAAATGTACACAATGTGAGTATCATTTCAATTTCTAAACAGTTGGACAACACAGTCCAGTTCTTTGATACGTGCCTTGTTCTTTTTCCTTTTCAACATTTATCCAAATTCTACTTATAGACATAAGGAAGCAAGCTGTAGATTTAAGGGTACTCCGGGGGAAAGAAATCTAGTTTTTACAATGTGAGGATAAATGTAGAGTTGTAGTAATATTGGCTGTTAAGCAGGCCTGCTCAAGAGTCTAGCTAGAAAAAGAAAAAGGAAAACATACAGCCTGAATGGATGTAGCTTTGCCATAGAATCTTTGTGAATTATGATTATCCATTGTTATTTCTATTGGTTTCATGCTTAATTTTGGAAACATAAGGATAACTAGACCAATGTCACCTCTACTGATCTTATTTGAATTGGGGACGTACATGAAAATATATATATGGTAAAGAACCATATGCAAATTTTTAAATCTACCAATCAGTACCAGCATCTTTACAAACGGTTTTTCTGAAATTGAAATAGCTTGAGGAATACATGCTTATATCCAGATCCTAAAGCTCCTTTGAAGGAAGAAATGGCTTTTGTTCTTTCCTGTCTCTCAGAAGCATCTTATTGCCAAATTTGCATCTCTAAGACTTTTATATTTTAAGATGAAGAAAACCAGAAATATGACATTATTTGGGAAAGACTGAGATGGAATTTAATTTTCTGGAGTCTGAATCTCTTAAATAAAATAATCATTACCCCATTCAAGATAACATGTTTTAACCTCTATTCCTGTCTCACATGTGTGGTGAACTTCACACATATCCTTGGAAATGGGACCTTGTGCAGGTATCGCTGCACGCCCGGTGTTCTAGTGCACTCCAGAAGGAGCACTTGCTACACAGCAGGAGACAGCTATTCCCTGTACCAGTGGCAATAGTAAAAGCCTCAATGCGACTTGTATGGAAATGTCATGATAAAATTCATTCATAATTTTGTACAATTACTATACACTGAAAAAAAGAAGAAAAACCTCAGTGCACCTTCCCTCTGCAGTTCACTTCCTGGACACTAGGTGGGTTCTGTTACTAGCTAAACATACAAGGGTTCTCTTTAGAAAAAGAGAGACCCAGAATACCTCTATGGTCCCCCAGTTTTTGTGTGCTTCCTTGGAGACTGTCAGAGGGAGAAAAGTATACAAACTTAACTTTTTTAGTGTTTACTACGTTTGGACTATTCCTTTTCTCATATAAGTCATTTTTGGGGGTTGTGGACACTGTCTTTCATCTGGATCTTCCATGTTTGTGATGAATTGTTTTCCTCTTACCATGGAAGATGTCAAGAAAATAACAAAGTGTTACATCTTCCAAGCTGTGTTATGGCTTCCAATGATTGGAATTTCCTCAGACCTTTCCTTACCAGTAGGAGCAATAAAAAGTCACTCTTAATGATCTTAGGAATATTAACTACAATGTTTTGGCATAATTTATTTGAATATCTTTAATTTTGATATTAACACCAACAAATCTATTTTTGCTAGCAGATCACAGCTATTTTCATGTGCTAATTTTCTGCATTGTAGTAATCTGTTACCCAGTGTTAGTCTTTCTTTTTCTGTGTTGAAAATCTTCCTATCGTGTAAGTATTTGCAATTCCTGACAATTAAAATGCAAACCATTTTTGGAGACTTTGGTTGCAGGGATGCAATGATCAGGAGTGGCTCATTTATTTTATTCGTGATGATTTTTATCTTCCTCTGTTACCCTTGGAGGATACTTTTTTAAATGAGTATTTGCAAATCTTTTCACTTAATCATTTGTAAAATTATTTTCTGCCTAACTCCTACCATTCTACCTATGCCCAGATGGCTCCCCCCAAAGCTCTTATTGATTTGTTTATTCCCTCATGTAGCTAGTTGCTGTGAATAAATAACATAGAAAAAGGCCACCATGTCTTTGTTTTTCTGGATTATGGGTGTCTGTGATGATAGAAGGGGACCGAGTAAGAATGTTGCCTAATGTCTTGCCTGGAAGAAATAAGCGATAAGAACATACCAGGATACAAACTCAGAGCTGCTATAGTCTTGGTCCTCATGTTTCCCACTATCCAGATACAGATTCCTCTAGGTGTTGGAATGGGAATCTGAGGCATCTACCCTCCCAGGTGGCCCTCCCAGGAAGCTCCTCTATTTCCTGGGCCATGGAGACATGATTATTTGGGTGTTATAACATTAAATGGGAAAATGCTGACTACTCAGATCAAATTTATGACCCTCAACAATGACTTAGCTATCTTTTGAGAAACCCAAGTTGTTTCCTTTGCAATATAAGAGGATACTTAGCATTCAGTGAAGTTCCATTTGATTCACTTGGTCTGTTTAGGATGGTGTAACAAATTTCTACATCCCTGAAGGTATTTAAAGAGGCATGAACCTAAATTGGATCCTGGCTATGAAAGCCATCTTAAGAACAACTGTGGAGGCTTATAAAAGCTGGACATTGTTGGCTGTTCTGTAATCCTGGCTAATAAGGATGCTGAGATCTGAGGGTTGCAGTTCATAGCTATCCCAGACAGAAAAGGCATGAGATTCTTATCTCCTATTAACCAGCAAAGAGCTGGAAGTAGAGGTGACATCACCAACCTTGAGTGGAAAAAGTCAAGCAGGGACACTAAGCTCTGAGTTCAAGCCCTAGTACCAGCACAAAAATAGAGAGAGAGAAAGAAAAAGAAATTTGTATATACACTACTATAGCAATACTGCAACTCTGAAGACTAAGGTCTTTGAGAGATGATGGAATGCATTTGCATTCTGAGATGGACTGAGCTTTTGGTTGTCACCCAAAACCATGTTATAGACTTGGTTATCAGCCTGTGAGGCAACTGAGAGGTAGTGGAACTTTTTAAAGAGTGGGCTCTCAGCCGGGCACCAGTGGGTCACAGCTGTAATCCTAGCTACTTGGGATGCTGAGATCTAAGGATCATGGTTCAAAGACAGCCCAGGCGGGAAAAGTCTGTGAGACTCTTTATCTCCAATAAATTACCAGGAAGAAAAAGCCAGAAGTGGAGCTGTGACTTAAGTGGTAGAGTGCTGGCCTTGAACAAAAGTAGATCAGAGACAGCACCCAGGCCCTGAGTTCAAGCCCCAGGACTGGCAAATAAAAAATAAAGTGGGATCTCAGAGGAAGGTAAGGACTGAATCCTTAAAGGGAATATTGGGACTCTGGCCCCTTCCTCTTTTTCTGTTTCCCAGCATCGTGAGTTGAGCAGACTTCTCTTCCATATATCCCCTCATGGTGCTGCTCTGCCTCACCACAGGGCCTAAAGCAACCGTGTGCACTCACTGACCATGAACTGAAGCCTCTGAAACCTAAATCATCTCTCCTCCTCAGGCATTTTTGTCATAATAGTAGAAAGCTAACTAAGACCTATGAAAAATAATGAAATTATTGCCAGTTTTATA